TTTAGGGTTTAGGGTTTATTATAGGATTTCAGGGGTTAGGGTTTAGGGGTTTAGGGTTTAGGGGTTTAGGGTCTAGGGTCTAGGGGTTTAGGGTTTAGGGCTTTGGGGGTTTAGCGGTTTAGAGGTGTTTAGACTCATCAGCTTTGGCAATGTAGGGTTTAGAGGCGGCTGCGCAGCTTTTTAGAGTCCCGGCTGGAGTTGAGGGTGCTGACCAGCAGCTGACACGGGCATGTGGCCCGTGGATTTGAAGGCTGAAAAAACGAAGGTCATGGAGTGAGAGTGGAATAGCCACCAATAATTAGCAACACTCTTCCGTCGGGCACCCCCAATTAGGGCCCCTACATTACCGTTCAGCTCAGGGTTGAGGAGGGCACAGCACGGTGGGCTTCTTCACGGCTTCTTCCGGATTGGGGACAAGTTCGACATTGCGGCCTAGCTTGTATGGTCTTGCTTGTAAAAATCGACTGATGTTGGGGCTTGGGGGGGGCTCTTGGGGAGCAGTGTTCGAAGCTGGGTGGCCGCCACGTAGAACCGTTAGAACCAGTGTCTTTAGCAGGTAATTTGGCATACCAACCAACCCCTCTCCGGCAAAGGACCCTGGGACCAAACGTCTCCCCAGCAGAACGGTGCTTTGTACTTCAAGTGCAGCTCGTGAAAATCTGCCACCTTGCTAACGCTGAAGACGAATGCAGTGGTAACCATGCCCGCGTAAGCCATGACAAGCACAATTTTCATATCAAGATCAGGAACTCGCTGTCAAGTCGAAGCAGCAAAGATATCCTCCTCGTAGTTGTCGTCGTGAGTCCTCTACAGCGAGACTCCTCGGCCACAACTCCAGGTGATGAAGGCTGCTCGGGAGTACCTGAGGAAGCAGGACGACTTTGGATTCGAAACCCTCTCATGGAGAACCGATCGCTTCGATGTCCCAGGGCCTTAGCATTCGGGGGGCCTTTACAGATGCTCTATGTCTGCATGGCATCGAAGGACCCTTTCCTTTGTCAAACCACGCACTTGACACTAAACCTGCATCGCCTACAACTGCACGCGATACGTCACACCTGGCTCCGGATGCAGGACATGTTTGCCGTGACCCGCGATGAGCAGGCAGGAAGTATAGAACTTCTGTGGCAGTTGCAAGTTGCCGTTGCTCAGCCATGCCTCCAGGCCCTGAATCCCAATAATCGTGTGTCCATGACCCGGCAACTGCCAGGTGCGTGTCTTGTCAGGCGAGGAGGAAGGTGCTTTTGGGTGGCTGGCACTGAACCAGAAGCAGGCAAGTCTGGGGTGCACTGCACGGAGCAAATTTCGCAGAAAAGAGTGCAAGACGCTCTTTTCGCAGGTGCTGATTTCAGGTATGTGTCTAGGAGCCAAACTGCGCTCAAGAAGGCTGCCAAAGCTGTTTAGAACTTCCAGGATAGGTAATTACTGACGACTGAGAAATTGCTCTGTTTAATAATTACCAATACTATTCTGGGGCTTCCTTATTATAATTATAGTATAATGGGCCCCCAAAACCCTGTTCTAATTATTGAGCCCCCTGTGTTAGCTCTGTTTACTCAGTTTAAGTGAATCATCGGACACGGAGTTGATGCATCCTGCAAATTTATTCGTAGCCTGTTTGTCAGGATGCTGTGTGTGACTTGCTGCGGCCTAATCTAAGGTGTTGACACGAACTACCAGAGATGCAATTACAATCAATGCACATCTAGAGCTGCACAGATCCCCGAAGCACGACAAAAAATAGAGAAACACTGGCTTGGCCAAATCTACATCTATCTTCGCACGCAGACGGAGTAATTTAAAGCCTTATATACTTCAGCCACCCATGAACCTTCAAGGTCTCCGCCCTGAAGCCTAAACCCCAAAAATCCAGACTGTTCCGCAGAAGCCCTTGACCCAAAACCCTATACCCTTAGGCCTAAACCCTAGGCCAAGCGCTATACTCTGAACCGACCAACCCTAACCCTAACCCTTCAACCAACAACAGCCTAAACCCCGGCCAAAGAAGACTCACACACAGTTAGCCAAGGAACCCTAAATACCCTCGACGAAAAACTTTAACCCCCCAAACAAAACCCTAACCCGTAAGCCCCTTTATATTATATTATATTATATTA